TATTCCTTAGAAACTCAGGCTACGTTCGATCGATATTGTTTCCACGGGGAATAGAGTTTTGTCCCATTTTGTCTCATTTGTTGTTGTTTTGTCCCATTTGGTTAGAGTTTTGTCCCCGGTGTAGTTTGACCTCCTCAGTGGCAAGCCCTGTAATTGTATGTTGTGAATAATGGCGTGCAATTACGAACCTATAGTCGTTAAGAGAAAAAGATTAAGGAAGAACAAATCAAAGCCACAAAGTACCTGGCAGCCTCTCTGGACGAGTTCTCCGGACCTGCTCGTTTTATGCCAGCAAAGCGATATCCTGCCGCCTCTCGCTCACTAATCGTTTCTTCGCGTCATCTAATACTAATCCCATCCCGAAGTGAAAAAACAACGAATACAGGGTCTAAAAACTGAGCTCGTAACTGAGAATAGCCCTATGTTTTGGTAGGCGGGGCAACTGGGGAGGCGTCAGAACTGCCACTTATGAGGGCCACACCGCCTTCGTTACTTGCGATGAAGCCTCGAGAAAGGGATAACCCTCAGAGAGTATACTCTCAGAGAGGATAACTCTTAGAGACCGATAACCGGACTACTTACAAGTGCAAGGGAGCACATCTATGAATTGGCTGTGCGCGTGGAGTGTCCTTAACAGAGTAATCACATCCGCTCGTCTCGAAACCGTCTTGCCCAATGTACCCGCTTGAACACTGAAAACACCAGAACACCCGGAAACACTGAAATTGAGCAACCTTGTCCCTTGAGTAGTTGACTCCACGGATAAGAATATCGCAACACCTTGAGGGAAAACGCTCAAACGCCTGTGCAGGAACCTCGCCTGTGCTAATCACGGAAGTCCGCCAACTTACCGTGGAACTTTGAATGGAGACCTGGGTAGATCGATAGAGTCTATAAGGTTATTTAAATATAGATAGCAAAACTGCAACCTGCATTTCACAAGCAACTTATGAGCAGGTAAAGTTTGTAATGGTGCAGTAGGGTGGAGGCTTGGTGGTGAGCTGTGAAGCATAAGCGAGGAATCGCATACGTCGAATCGAGTCGTCGAACGTCGAACCTTACCACTGAACCACCACGACTCGATTCGACGTATGCGATTCCTCGCTTATGCTTCACAGCTCACCACCAAGCCTCCACCCTACTGCACCATTACAAACTTTACCTGCTCATAAGTTGCTTGTGAAATGCAGGTTGCAGTTTTGCTATCTATATTTGTAAATAACCTTATAGACTCTATCGATCTACCCAGGTCTCCATTCAAAGTTCCATGGTAAGTTGGCGGACCTCTCTGGTAAGCGTTTCCCTTGTGAGATACATGTTCAGGTATTCAGACTTCTCCTGAAAAAGGACTGTGTCTATGCTGTTCCCCAGCCCATCACAAACGACCAATCAAAATGTGGCCTGAGTTTCAAGGATTGCGGCTGTCAAGGCTAAAATGTGCCAATTGCACAGAGAAACATCATCTGTTAACTTGTAAGGAATAGGTCTTGCCCCTCAGGATTTCTCTGGTAAGGAGATGGAGTGACCCATGCAGTTCCTAGCACTGTAATCTTTCGACGTATTAATCTTGATCCCTTGAATGAACCTTTCCTAATAATTCGTACTTTTTTTCTAATAGCTCTGTATTTAAGGCCGTGGCAGTCAAGTGCGGTTATTGAGAGCGAAGCTGAAAGAAGGAATACTGCAAGGATGCAGAGACAACATCGACGTTCAACGCAGGGGGTGACTAAGGTGCGGCAAAAGTGTTAGAATTGTTTGAAACGGCTTGTGAAAATATGAAATTTTTATTATATATTTGTAGGAACATCTTGAAGAGGCTAGTCGAATTGCAATGGCCGAAAATGCTCGACGACGGGCTTTAGCGGCAACTCAAAGTGTAACTTCTAACGCTTCCAGTGGTTCTAACTCTAGGGAAACGGTGAAATAATTTGTTTCTTTTGTTTTTTTCCATAATTTTTTAGTTGTTAGTCGACGATTATTGTAAAGTTTGAGGTTGAGAGAAGTGGGCACCATCGCTGGGGGTGGGCGGTTGCCGCTGACGTCATTGGTAGAAGAGCTGTGTGGGGGTGCAGAGGAACGTCTTCCCGTAGGCCTTCCACCAATGACGCTGGCATCAACTCTCCGCCTCCAGCAATCGTGCCCACTGCCTGTAAAATATGATTCCCCTTATTTGAACTCTTCGTACCATTCTCCTATTAAATGCTATGATGATATGATGATATCATTTTGAAGGGTATTGCTCGCCTTGCTTCGGAGGAACGTGATTCAACTTCTATGTGTTCGGATCGAAGTTCAGGAAGTATAGACAGAGGGTCACCGGATGAATCAGTTTCTAGTCGGGCAGGAAGTGCTCCTCCTCGAGGTGCGAAGTTTTGTTGTATTCCCCCGTTTCATGTGATTTCGATGAAACATCGATGCTTGGCATGTATGAGTCATCTCATAGAACAGGCTCATATTTGAAAAGTTTCTTTATATGAGTTTCTTCTCCAGTTGCTAGCTGAGAGGGGGAAAACTTGCTAGTGTTGTTCTTTATATGACTAGTTTCTCAATTGGTTATAACTACGCTTCTATTTGTCTCCCGGTTTCTCGAGTTTTGTAATTCGCTGGATATGTCGCCATTCCTTTTAGAGAACATTTTATCGCATAGCAAAAAATGAGTAAGCGTTTATGTTAAGAGAAATCAGGGTTACACCAATCCTCATTTCTTGTGAAGGAATATCCTCTGACCTTGGATCATGAATAGCTGCGGAAACCTCATAGTATAATAATTGTCAGAATTTAGTTGATGTTCAGCTCTTGAACACTCTCTTCAAAGTTCTTTGTAATCCTTCATGGTATTTGTTCCAAATCGAATTAAAAAAGCCGTCGAGTTGAGTGGGTAAGAGGCGACTCGGGTGGTCTAGCGGATGACACAGTCGTCCGAAAAGCGTAAGGTGCGGGTTCAAATCCCGCCTCGGGTCAAGGCTTTTGCCCACAACTCAGCATTCTTGTGATAACTTTTATAGCGCAAACCGCG